ACTACAACTATAATCGCTAAGTGTTAACATTAGTCGGCGGGAGAACATTTTAAAGACGTCAAGTAGCTGGAGTGCCGATATCAGATTACCGATGCTGGGGATAAGCGATTTAGTACTTGTGGTCACTTTGGCACCTAGAGGTAACATAAAGTATGCAATTGTATATCAATTGGGAGGCTACTATTAATACCCCAATTTCTTTTAATTTATCTCTTAGTGATGTTCTTGAATCTAATTGATATAATACAAAAAGTGTATAATGTCTGGATTCCAAATATATTCAAAAAGTATATACGTTTGATATAAAAATCTTGAGAAAAATGCATTTAAAGTGACTGCGACGCGTTTTTTCTGAGAGCAAAAAAAGCTCGGCATATAAGCGTCCCTAACGCATTAGGTTATATATATATAGTATTTTTTTTTTGTTAATAAAACACAGCTAGATCGATTAACGACCAGGCAGCATGTTCAATTCCATGAGAATCGCTGGACCCGTTTCCCAAATTCAAATTACATATCTATAAGGATTGCTAATTTTAAAATGAAGGTATTAAGTTGCAAAGTTGAATATGTTGGCGAGCTATCTATATGTATGGGAAAAGCCGAAAAAACACTATTGTTATCTATTTTTATTTGTGAAAAGAATCCGTAACGTAGTAGCATATTCACTCGTTCAAACAAAGAACACCTTTACATAGGAAACCTCTTCACGTTTTACATCAAGTAACAAACAATGCATGTTATGTTATTTTATTTTCATACCCTTTTCATGTTCAAACTTCTCCGTTTACAAATTCATTCTTATCTGACGTGAGGGTATTGTGAAGTGGAAGCGTTATTCTGAAAATCGAATGTGAAAGTGAAAGACAGTAGGTATGCTTTGAGTATATATAAGTTCTGTATGTATAATATTACTAAAAGTAGGACAGAAGACCCGATTTTGGGCACTGACTACTATTTGGCCATTTGGGACTTTAAGTTGTTCTAATTAACGTATTATCGAATATATTATTTTGCCATTTGCGATCTTCAAACTATTGAATTATGGCAAAACTAATGCTGTTGATTGCTTTGATGTGTCAAAGTTCATTTCTTCGTTATTAATAAAATGGCCAACAACGTGTCATAATCTTAAAATGGCTGAAACTTGGACATTTGCCCTATTGCAGTCAGAAGCCATTAAGTAATACTGAGATGATAGAATCGTTTTAATACTTTCTTTTCTTTTTAACTTTGATTATTATGTCGTTCTTTTTTATTTTTGAATTTAAAAACAAATTCAGTTTAATTGACAAATAAGACTTTATTCAAAAATTACCACAAAAGCTGTTGGTTTTCCAAGATAAATTATAAACTAAATCACCATGAATTACATGTTCAGAATACGAGCCCGGATTTCGGAATACAGACCCCCTTTTTCAGAATACGGTTTCCTATTTTCGGAATACGGAGAATGCAACCCTGTTAACAATACATTTTATGTGCAATAAAATGATCCTATGTATACTTTAAATCGAAAATTTGTATTGTGACTGTGAAAAGAGGGTATATCCGAAACCCGTATAATGTTGAAGGGTCAAACATTAATGTTATCTTTATACTAAGGAGAGCTAAAGGGGTTGATGTAAAGAGTGATTTGGACTTTGGATCAACAACTTAAGCCAAAGTAAACTTAATTCATCGGCTTTTTTATTTTAATTTTTATAATTAATATTTTAATGTTAGATATTTATCTCACACTAAAATACTTAAATTTGAATTAGTTATTGACAACCGCTACAGTCTCTTTTATTTATCGTACCTTCTAAGTTAGGTACTTGTAGTTAAAATAATCTTTAAGTTATTTAATCAGTATTCACTATCTTAAATTTTATCAATGTAACGTAGTCTTTATTTAAAACAATTGAAACCTTACCTAAGTAAGTAATCCCCAAAAGGTCGTATAAAGTGCATAGGTAGGTAATATTTTATGGCTCTACAGTCAACACCTGCCTTACATTAGCATTATCATCGCCAGCGGTAGTAAAAGGCGTTATCACCAACAAGGTAACGCTAAAAAGTTCTTATGCGTTGCGGAACTCTAAAAGGCTCGTTGGAAAACACGATAAAACGTGTGAGGGGTCAACCAGGCCGCCGATATATCATAAAATTATATGAAAGTCAAGTGCGGGTGAGTGAGAGGTGAAACGGGCACGGGGATTTATCGAGGTCTGCTTTCGATACCCATTGTGGGCAGGCAGTTTTACGACTTTTAAAATAATTTCATGAAAATAACTCCCCCACTTATCGCGGGGTGCGCCCACGTGCGAGCGCCGAATGCAAATAAACCTGGGATGATGTTTTTGGCGATGAAATTTGAAAATCGAATGGTCAGTGGAAAGTTTTGGCAAACGTACAATTTACTTCTTAAAAGAGGTGACAGGTTTGTATCGATATAATCTATATCTACTGTTTGTTGAAATAAACTCCTAAAGTCCTTCTTTTTAATTGTTAGTTACTAAAAGCAAAAAATACATATTATTATTTTAATAGATCTTTAGTAAATTGTCATTGGTTTAAAACGACATTACAGATACAAATTTTCAAATTATGACATTTATTGAACTTAAAGTCGTCATTGAACCTTTATAGTCCATGAAATGTAACGAAAAATAATTTTATATAATATAGACTCATATCAAACGCTGTGAAATTTTATATTCTTGAAAAATTTTCAAGGAACTGAGTCTTTCCAAGTCGTTCAGTTAGAAATTTCCTTCACCGCTACAGAAATCTGAGCTCGTCTTAAACCATCATTTGAAATTACTGCCCGTGAAATTTGCGCGTTTCCTGATTTTCTATAAAGAGGTAGGTATAATGGAATGGAAAATTAATGTTGTTTTTAACTTATATAGACATTAAAATTATAGTTAATGTTGTTCATTTATTTAGACCAGCTGGGTGCGGCATAAGGCGCCGAGGACCGCGATTTTTTTTGCTAAGCAACTTTCGCAAGGTTCGTCCACAGAATTGGTGACCGGCCTTTGCGAAGTAGCTGGAAATAATAATAAACAAAGTATTATTTTAAGCTACTCCGCGCTTCGAAAGGCGTGTTAAGCTATTGGTTTTGGCTGCATTTGCAGTCTTTAATAACATCTAACCGCATTGAGGCAGCGTGGTTATGGTCCAGTCTCCTTAACTCTATTTATGAAAGAATAGAAGGTATTTATTAAGAATAAAGTAAGAATAATTTACTTAAACGTATTTTTATAAATAGAGCCATACTCAGTGTGCATCAACCAGAAATTGGTCAAGTAACATTTGCTTATACAATATAAAAATATTATTATATTTTAAGTTGGGATTTTCAAAATTGATAAATGAATACTTAAGTTTCTTAGAAAACTAAGTACAAAGTTACCATTTATCATAATTCATTTAGATTTCATATAATAAAAATTGAAATTTATTTTTTAGATAAATCATGTACTTACTTATTTTGAAAAAAAAAAATTACAGAATTCTCACTGAATTAAACGCAAATAGGACATACATTAAAGAGAAAAATAAATATTCAAAATCATAGACAAAAGTTGCTTATCTAAGCAAGTGTTTATTTTATATTAAAACATTACCTTAAGTTACAGGTTTGGTGACACGACAAATCTGCTTATGCCATTCATAATATTAAATGATTTCTAGTTAAGCTATGCCTTGTTCTAGGTTAGTGAAGACGGACATTAACCTCTAATGCTGGGCGGTGTTGAACAGATACGCGCTTCGAATGTAATATTTTTCTTTGTAATTACAGCCAACCCCTTTTTTCGTAATTACCCATGCTATGAAACGACACTGATTTAAAAACTACGAATTTGACTAAAGTTAGTTATTAGGATCAACATTAACAATGTACCTATGAAGTCAAACATTACAAGGACATAACTACTCAACTCCTTTATTAATGTTCATTTCATCAATAGCTTTATTTTTAAAATTAAAAATAAGCTTTTATACAACCTTTTTATTATATACAATACAAAAATAGTATTATTTTTTTATTTGTAAAAGTTAAAAAACGTGGTATGCAATAAGGTTAATCTATACAACAATAGTATTATTTACAGCCCAGATGTGGAACCTGTTGGATACAATTTCTTGGCTCAAACCCAATACTAGCGGATCAGGAACTGGCCTTTAGATAAATAGCATCTACTTTGTGTCACGTGTACCGTCTTAAGGTGTATCCGACGAGTGCTAGCACTTTATAGCTTAATTTACAACCAGTGTGTAGGGTGAACGATGTTTTTCTTGAATTTTAAATATGTATTATAGAATATACTGAGGTAAGTTGAAATAAAACAAGAGATAATAATTAATTTTAAAATATTTAACTATATTGTGTTGGTTAGAAAATATATATATTTTTTTTGCTAACAATATCAATGTAATATCTTGACTGGACCCATATGGTATGCGGTTCCTTGTAACTATTGGTTCTCTCTACTACTCATAAAGCATATTATATCTGATATTGTCTGTATGTCTGTTACGTTTTCATGCTTACTCTACTGAACCAATTTTAATGTTTGGTATACAGACAGAGTAGACCTTGGTAAAGGACATAAGATAGTTTTAACGCAATAAATGGACTTCAAGGGGTTCTCTGAAGAGCGATAATAACCGAATTCCACACGGACGAAGCCGCAGACGGAATGCTTTTATATATTAAATCTATGCTCGCAAGGTAGCGGAATCCAAAATTTTGTGTTTTATTTCAATAAACATCCTTAGGTGACTCCAGACAAGGATCAAACAAACGACATTAATAGTTGTCAGGATAAAAAAAATGAGAATAACTTCTATATATTTTAGGATTCGATTGAGAAGAAAACGTATACGTTTTTCTTTGCGTTTGGAATTCATTCAAATTTCAAGTCGAATAAATACTCGTCAACACCTGTTAAGAACTACTTCGTCAAGGTTTGGTTCGGGTAAAAAAATTAAAATCAGAAGGTACTTACATATAAAACCCAGTCCTTGGGGCTGTGTGCGTTGGTACCGCACACGTAGAGTCTTGATCCATCACCCATGGGCTGAATCACTCTCACATGGTTGCGGCAGTCGAAGTGCTGTTGAAAAATAATATAGGTTAGTGGATTTAGAAGATTTCACTGAAATATTATTTTTCTTCTTACTGGTGTACTCGAATACTATATCTTAATCTCATTATCTTAAGGCAATTAAGTAAAAGTGTATTAAAATCGAAGTTATTTTTGTAAACAATATTAAGCATTACTAGAATATTGATGTTCCGATTGTGGGCAAAATAAATATAAGACATTATAATATTTGATCAATTTGAATTCACAAAGCTATAAATGGCGAAAAAGTAACAAGTACTTGAAAGATTCGTCAGTCCTGTTAGGTTCTGGGTAGCTCAGCATTCAGAGCAGTCGTCCGGATTGCGATAGGTTATGGATTCGAGTCCCATCTCAAAGTGCCAGGGACAAAGTGGATTTTTTAAGCATTTTTAATTAAGAATAAGACATTATATTTATTTTTTACAAGCTTTCCCGAAGGTACTACATCCCGATCTGAGATAGTACAAAAAAAGTTAAATTTTCGACATTGTATTGGTCGGTAACCGAACTTGAGAGATGGCGACACTTTGTAAATAATTTTGTTTTCACCACTTTAAGCTAAAACGTTGTTTATCACTGTACATATAATAAAACGAAGTCGCTTTCTCTTTCCGTATATCCCTATGTATGCTTAAATCTTTAAAACTACGCAACGGATTTTGATGCGGTTTTTTTTTTCATAGAAAGGCTGCAATATTTTTTTCATAGAAACCACGCGTACGAGGCCGCTGGCGGAAAGCTAGTATTTAATAATAAAACATACATTGTATTGTATTGCCAACATTGTATTTGCTAGATGTTTTTTTTTTATTCAACTTACATAACGTTAAATTAAAAATGCCCATATATAAAATTTTCAGCTGCAAAATGGCACGAATCGAATTTATTTACTAAATACCAACCCGGGGCAAAATTTCGTTGGAATAATAGTGATCCGAGGTCCGTACGAGTATGTATGAGTGTTCAACGTGCCGTGATTATGCAAATTTGCGTCCAACATAAATATTAAGCGACGAATTAATATTCTGTGCGGCAGAAATAATGCAGAGTTCGCTTGTGGACAAAGCAGTGTCTACTCTGCTGGAGTGTCCATTTTCACTTCATTAACTTATTAAAGCTACTATTTTTTTTAAATTTAAATGAGAATCTGTCTACTATTCTAAAGAGGATAGATTGGTTGATTGATTTTTAAAATTCTTACATTCATACGCGTATCATCATCATCACCAGCCCTTTTACGTCTCCACTGCAGGGGCTCAGGCCTTCCTTATGGACGGTTAAGGTTTATACGCGTATAAAATAGCTTTATTCTATTGAAGAAGTGAATTTTAGTATAACGTTTATTTTATTTCCGTTTTCATATGTCTTAGATATTATTTGTTATGGAAATTTTGATGCTGTTGTTTGCCGGTACAGATTGGTCGGCGGTCGACGTGGTCTGGCGGGAGATTGAAACTAATTTTCTCTACGTCAGTTAGTCTACGTTGCGGACAGAATCCAAAATACAAATAGAATGGACAATTATATTCGTATTTTCTCTTTTGGTTGGCGAGTCTTCAGTTTATGGTACGCTATTTAAATTCGAGAATGATTATGTGGCCGGTAACAGTGATTTAATACTTACATAGTATATTTTTTGGATGTGTTTAAAAATAATGTTTTTATCAATTATCTTGAATATAATTAAATTATACTGAGGTAGTTTTCATCACTTTTAATAATTATTTTTTCTTCAATGTGTGAGTTATTTTATAATAATAAGTCTACTTTCAAATACTCGATTAGGAACGATTGAAAGATATAAAACATCTAGATGCAATTCCCATATAAAAAAAAAACTGAATAATAATAAAAACCAGTTTTAAAAGAACTTTTATTGTTAAATTTTTAATTTAAACACCAGGAAGCTACTCAATTCAAATACTCTATACAATTTGTACTCAAAAATAAATAACACTGAAAGTAGTACACTGCATGACGCAAAATTAACTTTGTATTATTAGTATTGAATTATATTTGCATTTCATGCGAATTTCACGTTCCATGAATGAGGTACTAAATTATTTATCGAACCTAGTATTTGAACGCGTTGAGCTTGTTAATTTTGTAAATTATATAAATAGGTTTTGCAAATAACTCAATTTGTAACCGAGCCTATTAATAAAATACCTATAGTACTTATATTTATTATTCAGTGGTTTTTTTGCGGAGTTTGTTGTGATGTATATTAAATATATATAGTAAAGTCATTACTTGTAACGTAATGGCATAGATAAATATATAGGTACTATTTATGTACGGTAATGGTAATCAAAATATCTTGTAATGTATGAAATTAATTAGGACTTCATTATATGTATCTAGGTATTTCAACGTAAAATTTTAAATAAACCAAACGATATCATCAATGAAATTAATAATTGCGGAGCGGGGGAAACTCCAAGCCGTCATAACGGTCTGGTCCATAAGCAAAACAACCTCCATATTAACTAACTAACTAATTAACCGTTCTGTTTCTAGGTAAACTCCGGCGAATTCTTATTCGGCCCCGTGCAAGTTCGCTAGATTGTTCTAAAGTAATTATCGGATTAATACACTCCCAACGCTCAGCTCCACTGACGCGAACAAAAAACTGTTTTGCAGAAACAATCAGAATTAAGTACAAGAACAATCTGCTCACGTCAAAGTTACTTTTAATAGTAGTTAGGCGCGTAAGTTTAGACTTCGATTGGTCCATTCCGTTAATTATTCGCCATTTCGTACCTAAGTAAGATTTACGGTCGGCCTTTCGTCGCGCGCTGCTGGCTGGCACTGAATTTTTTTTCAGTTATTTTTCTTTAACGGCCTTCATTAGGTTTTTAAAGAGGCGATTTGCATCGCAATAGCTTTATTGGTTAATATTAACGAGCTGTATGTTCATATATATAATATCTTTAGGTCGACAAGGTTTCAAAAGTATCCTAACTAAAATATATTAATCTTAATGAAAAATTTTAAAAAATTCTGACACTCTGAAGTGGAAATCGAACCCAAGACCTTTCGCAGTCCGGGCGACTGCTCTAACCACTGAGCTACCTCAGACCTTTTTTATTTGACGCTGGGAAATGCATTATTGCATACCCCGGGTCGCCAGCGCGGCTAACCGCTAAAACCCAGCGATGTCCCTCGCATGGAAGGCGATAACAGAACTGAAAAACTTCTTCAGCACTTATTACTTTTTCGCTACTACAGATCGGATTAATGTTAAGGCAATCCATCCAAACAGCCAAAAGAAATATTTTAACAATGATTTTAACTTTCGATAAAGATGTAAAATTGTTCTAATTATAATATTTGATTAATTTTGCATTCACAATGCTGTACTGAAAAATATTATTAATGAAATTTGCTTAAAAATTAACTTTATCCCTGGCAAGTTTTCACAATTAGAATATATAGTAGAGTAGTACAGTATTCCAAACATTTACCAAACGTGATTATTTTATAAAGCTTCTGACTATACCAGGCGGCTTCATATAAGGTCTACTGCGAGCGTATGACATTAGCGTAGTGGATAGACTCCGCGGCCCGTAATCGTTGTTGCTAAGCAACTTTCGCAAGGGTCGGTCACGGGATGGATGGCCAAAAATTTATTATCTCGAGCTACTCTGTGCTTCGGAAGACACGTTAAGCCGTTGTTCCCGGTCCGCGTTGGGCCAGTGAGAAGGGTAACGGCCCAAACCTCCTTAACCAGCCATAAGGAAGAACTAACCCCCTGCGGAGGGGAGGTAAAGAGGTGCTGCTGGTGATGTATGGTGGTATTTAAATGTGATGCTGCAACTTTTTCATTTAAAGTTTATAACAAATGATTGAAGCGACCGCAGAAAGATAGATATGTGAATATAGTATGCGAATTATATAATAAAAACACATAATAAACTTTTTTGTGTATGTTTATGCACATTGATCAATTGTCTATTCTGAGTTAGTATCCTTGTTGTTTTTAAGGTATTCTCTTCATTCATTGTTATGTTAATTTTTCATACAATTTGTTTTGTAAGCGATTAATATCAATAGGGCCTTTGTAATATTAAATTTTAATATTAAACTTAACAAGGCCTATAATGATAACATTTCTGAAAGAACATTAACTATTGCTGCAAATCTATAAAGATGATCCGGTTAAAAGTCTACAAGACTGATAAAGTCCAGCAGTGAATTTTCCCTAATACCGTCACAAAGAGAAAAGGAACTTAAAACAACCGGGTACCGCGGTCTCCTTAACGGGAATTTCGCCAGCGGCATTTCTCCGGCCTTTTTCGTGTTACGACATCGTGTTTAGAGAAAGGAAAACTCGCCGACATCGGGAAACTTTGATTATAGCCTTCACGAGTGGCCGTTCCTTCCACGATCGAGGTGATAGACTTCGGGATATTTCTTTTTCATGACCCTCTTTGATACTAATAAAACAAATTTACTTTTTTTTTCAACGCAGGAAGAGTTGCCAACATTGTTGTGCACGATAGCACCTCATTATATCTTTGATTGTTTTATTTTAAGTTTATAAAGAATGTCATTTTGGTTTTTGTTTGATACTTTACTCTTTGTACTAAAATTTGTAACATAAAAGATAAAAATAAATCTTGTTACAAGAAGCGCGTATTCAGCGTCCGAAAACTTGATACGAATTGGATCATGTCTAAGAGGTGCAGCGCGGGAAGCAGTGACAGTTCTGCTAGTTTCAGCTCATGATCCTGCCGAGGTAATGGAGGCTCTAGAATTACGTTTTGGTAGACCTGAAATAATAATTCTTAATGAAATTGCGTCGGTTCGTTCTCTATCAAAATTAAATACAGATAGTAACGACCTTAATAGATTTACTTGTAGAGTTCGTAACTGTGTTGAGACTATAAAATTACTTCAACAAAGGTGTTATTTAGAATCGCCGGAACTTTTTCAAGCCGTTTTAGGTAAACTTACACCTTTGTTGCGAAGTAAATGGCTTGATT